ATTTTATCAATATTTTTTCAATAGCTATTTAAAATTTTATTTTAGAGGGTTCATAAATTAATAATTTTTAATAAAAAAATTCTATTTATGTAATAGAATTTATATGATATATAAAAATTTAAAATGTAATTGAAGTGAGTATTAGTTTGTTCATGCCCCCTTAATTCATCCTTTTTTTGTTATAAAAACTTAATGTGTTTGTAACATATCAAATTATATCACTAATCAAATGAAGTCCAAATTTTCTTTAAGACACTTTGGAAATGGCTTCAATGTCAATGCCTTTGGCCCCACTTATTGAAGCCTGAGGTAGAGATTAGATCTTTTTCTTTTTATGGATGAAAATAGGTTTGAGAATTGTATAATATTTATTTATGAACATACACATACATGATGCATGCATATAGTGGTGTTGCCACAATTTTTTTCAAGTGGGGCACAATACTTAAAATTTTTTTCAAAATTATAAAAATTTAAATAACCTAACTGATCTTCATGAAACTCTCAATTATCTGTTGGTTGGAATCTTTTGTTTCAACCAGAGGTCTTGTGTTTGAAGGTTGCAAAAGTGATCGGTATGTGAGTTTTCCTAATTTAGTCAAATGTCGCCATATTTAAGGAAAATGGTATTGGTTTCATCTAAGCTTTAATGTGTTAGGTTGTTGACCCAATGGGTTGGCAAAACTCATAATCCTTAAATGCTTCCATTTACATGACATAACAAAAAAGAAAATTGAAGCCAAAATTAGAACAAAAAAGGATCAAGTTTAAGAAAAATATGTGATGATTTGACTTTGTAAGGGTCTTGCACTGAACAAAAAACATAACAACAAACAGTCTTCATTCTATTTAAGTATAAGTTCTTTGTTTCAAGACACTACATTTATTGTCCCGCCTACTCAAATTTTATAACCAACATGATGGAACCTATTCATTTTAGCTTCATCAATACATTGAATTTAACCCTATTAGCTTGGTCTATCCATCACTAGCTACAACCATTAGCCCCAAAGCCAATTTGTGAGTTCCCCACATCATAGACTACACTAAACGTGAGATGCTGCATACTACCAATGATCACAACTTCACTATCATCCTTATTTTGAGTAAAGGGAAAGCACGCTCGAGATTTATTGAACACGAAAAGTATCCCTGTGGAATCTAACTTTGTCGTCACTTTGCCATCATAGATCAATGAAACCTCTGGCACCAACACCATCGGGTAGTTAGAGATGTCATAACATGTGTCAAGATTGAACATTGGCGGCGCCATCGTGTAATTTCTCATGTAGTTTCGGAAAATGTTGCGAAGGGTGGAGTATGCACTAGGCGGTAGGTGGCTAAATGCTGTGCCAGAGTCCAACATAGTTCCAGGTCCGCTGAATATAGTAGGTGGAAGGCCAAGCCTTTCACCACCAATTGAAATGTCAATGAGATTGAGGAAGTAGTATGATGGCATTTCTAGTTTTGTTAGCATCGGTGTATACTTCACACCAAGGACTGAGCTACCTAGTTCTAGATATCCAATTGTATTGGGCCTTGATGGTAGACAATATGAGAATATTTTGTTATACAATTGAGGTGTTTGGTTAATAATTGAAAGAGGCCCCCGACCGAGGCCTAATAACCCATCTGCATGTCCAAAAGTTCCAGTGTTGTCATGTCCACAACCAAAGACGAAGTCAAAAACTATATCATTGGATAAGGTCAAGGAATCTTTAATGAGGGAGCCATTAGTTTTACAATCGTCGACATATTCTTCCTCATAGAGGCAGGTGTAGGTAGAGGAGCAACCAAATCGAGGGAGTTAGGTACAGTAATTAGAGTTGCATGGGATGTTGGTGAAAGTGAAGGATTGGGTCGGGTCATTAATTGGGTTTGTTTGGTTATAACAGTTAACACAGGGGACACATTGGGTCCAAGTGAGATCACTGCCGATGTCAAACGTAAATGAGAAGAACTTGGTAGGAATTCCTAGGCCTATGTTGATGATATGACTATAGCGACTAATATCATAATTAATGGTTGCCGGAACTCTTGCAAAAAGAGAGTTGCCAATAGGGTTTAGGCGGGCAGTGGCGTTGGATGCCTGGCGGTGGATGTAGTCTACGCGGGCTTGGTCCTGGCGAAAGAGCTCCACAAGAGAAGGCTTATCCTGGCGCATCCAAGATGAGCATAGGCCATGCAAGTGGACCACGTTGAGGTTCGAAGGGCTCGTGCCTGTCACAATTGGAACAACTAATTATTATACGTATTGAGTTTTTTTTTCTTTTGCATCACGTTTAAGCTTGTGATGTCTATCAAATGAGCTTAATTGCTGCATTATTTCTTAATATTCGAATTATTTTATGAAAAAATAAGTATCAGTAGGGTATTAAGAAATTATTGAAATTGCTTATAAACCTTTATTAGGCATGGAGCAGGAGTTGCTCAGCAATAGTGTCTTGACGTCTATGACATGGTGTTCACAAACAAGCTTTTGCGCTTATACTAGAAAATGTTTTTCTATTAGAAGAAAAAAAAAAGAAAATTTTGAGAAGAATATAATAGAAGAGTAGAGAAGAAGATGTTTCCATGAAAATAGAACTTTGAACCAGTGCTTAGCATAACTTGAAGGAGTAAGCCAAGTGGAGGTGGGGCTTTATTGGCAGTGGATTATTGGGCATAACGGGGTAATTTGAAATTTAGTTTCTAATATATCATTATTTTATGGGAAGATTAGATGGTAGAAGAAGAGATCAATTAAGTGTTTTGGCCTATAATGAAGCAAACAAATG